TGTGCAGGCTGCAGTGCAGAAATGCTGAGGCTTCTTCTGGCCAGCTTCTGTGCTGCTGTGGTCAGCCATGAGGAGGTCAGAATAATCCTAGGACCCTGAAGACAAGGGAGAAAAACAAGGAAAATAAGAACTTTTAATGAGCTATGATACATATGTAGGAGATTGAATGTAATAAAAATGCTTAACACAAGCTACATACAATGATTTTCTTTTCTTAAAAAAGAAGCCTCAGTTGTTAGTAACATCTTACTTCAAATGAGGCAACTGTGATAACAGCAAACCAGATTTAGGGCCAAAATACCTAGACCAGGGATCAGCAACCTATGATCCAAGGGCAAAGTTGGGCCCATTGTCTATTTCTCTAGATACAGTTGTATTGGACCACAGCCACTTTTTGTTTATATTTGGTCTGACTGACACACAATAGAACAGTTATCATAACAGGGACTGTAACCCATGAAGCATAAATCATTCACTGTCTTACTCTACACATTAAAGAAGGAAAAGAAAAAGGGAAAAGGATCTAGAATGCAATTCACCTCTCTGATGTTGGGCAAATTACGGTTTCCTCTGAGCCTCAGCTCCCTAGTTTCCAGAAAATGGTGCTTGTCTCTCTTCACACTGAATTGTTGTGAAAATCAAATATGATCTAGAATAGCTGGGAAAGCACTTGCAAACTCAGAGGCATTGTGGAATTTGGACTAGGATGACTTTTCTTGTTCATTTGATCTGTGTTAGAGGAGAACCCACGAGCACAGCCTTTGTTTATGTTATGTTTCCTAGTCCCTGGCATCACTGTGTTGTCAGAATCGCTGTTTCCTCCTGAATCCAGAGTTAATGCTTCAGTACTCCCTCTTTGCCCCTTCTTCACCGAATATGCAAAACATTCTGGTCCTATGTTTCCAGAAATGTAGGATTAGTACAAATGCATACTGTGATTCTACTTTCTGAGCAGGTATTGAGTACCTACTATGTACAGGGATATAAACTTTCATAAGCTACTTCTTATGAGAAGAAGCATTTGCTTTCTAAAAGGAGAAGTTTGATGCAATGGAATAGAGATGTTGCCATATCATAGTAGCAGGACACATAGTAGGAGGAAATGGTCTGTTTTTCTACGTGCACGTACATGCCTGTGCTCTATCAAAACAAAAGTGTTCAGGCTCAGATTTAAGAACAAGTTGTTCAAAACAGGAGCCTTTTCAATCCAAAATACACTGAAGTGCTTTAAAATGTCACTATTATGTAGAACAATTTTCTCTCGCAACTTCTTTCTGAATTCCAGGTTTCTATCCCAAACTAGAATACATTCGTGCTCATGCCTAGTAAGTGGGGATGCCTCGCCCATGCCAGCTAGACAGGACTACTAGAGACTGATCAGATGCAAAGCTTGTGGCATCAAAGAGCTGGATACTGTAGTTTAAAATTTTGGAGATACACTCAGGAGGTAGGCAGGTATCTGTGAGTTCAAGGCCAGCCTGGTCTATATAGCAAGTTCCTGGTCAACTGGGGCTACAGGGAGACCTTGTCTCAAAAAGACAAAAAATAAAAATAAAAATAAAAAGGTTCTATCTTGTTTCTTCATGAAAGATAAACCAGTAAGCACAACCTTGATGAATTCAGTAGGTATTTGTCCAACTTGCCATCAAAATAAACACATTTGGAACAAAAATAAAGTTTGTTTTAATTTCTTGTTCTTATGATACGGATGCCATATCTATATATGTGCAGCTCTTGTTACTGGGGATAAAGGGAGAAGATCTAACTATTTAAAAAAGAAGAAGAAAGAAAAATATAACTATTTGAAAAAGAAGAAAGGAAAAGATTATTATCTATTTCTGGATTGAAGATACCTACACACTTAGCTCCAAACCCCAGATTGTGTCCCCTGAGCCCTCTCAGCCTGGCAACTCTTTTGGTCCCCATGGAAAAAGTGTTGGTATTCTTTGTGAATGTGTTCCATCTATACTTTTCCATGTGTACTTGAATACTGGGCTGCTGAACAAAACCCACCACCAATAGATGGCCACCTAAATTAAAACAAAATTGTTGTTTACTTGCCCAAATATTAAAATCATTCTTAAAATAAATGGAGCTCAGGTTTTTATGTTTTCTATGTAGGAATTTAATCTTCTCTAGTGCATTTTTAAACAGAATGCTTGGATCCATGGAGTGTTTTTATTAGACATAGCTAGACTCCTCCTATGAGGGTGTTAGGCACATGGGAAGAAAGCCTGTTCATGAACTAGGCTAAGCACAGGTAGTTTTGTTGTGCTGCCCAGTTACTGTGTGTCTTCTCATTCATAGACAAGTGTCTCCATCTCTGGCCTCTTCTTCAATGTGTGTCTTTTGTAGAGTTAGCAATTTATTTTGTATCAAGGAGGCTCTCCATCCTTTTCCACCTCCTTTCTGAAATAGCATTCATCTATTTTTTTGTTTTCCCCAAAGCATTTTTATTCCTGATGCTAAATGCAGTCTCTCTAAACCTAGGGCAGGTGTTGATAAGGCAGCAATGCTAATTATAGTCAGGATGGTAGATCTGGGACTGCTACAGGCTGGTAGGTTGGTGTGACACATCAGTTAAGCTTGAGTCCTTTCCTTCATTTGACCTTCAGAGCATGCCTAAGACCTGAGCCTGGGGAAGTTTCCCTTCCTCTGGGAGCAAAGATCTAAATTAGATAAATTTAGAATGAAAAAATGATGCCCACTTTACCTATCTTAGATTTACACTAATACACAAGTAATTTTACAAAGAAAGATAGTACATTTGGAACATATACCCTGCATGCATTCCATAGCCAGGAAGAATAATGAACTTTTTCAGGGTGAGTTATGTCTACTGTTCACAGTTAAGCAGTGAATATTTTGTTTGTATGTTTTCATATCCTATTTTAATTTTACATCTATTATATTAGGCTGGAAAATGGCCCATCTGTGCAATTTCCTAGAACTGCTACATGAGGTTTATCATTGACATAATTGCTTTAAAATGCCCTTTAGAAGTAGCTCCACTTGGTGCATGACTGTTTTTTAAAGTGATTATAAGAATATTTTAGTGCAGCATTTTTAAGTCTTCTTATATATGCAAGATAAATATGACTGAAAAATTTGCATGATGAAAATGGATTTAATTAGGTGAATTTAGTTAGGCTTGATGAGGTGGAGCCAAATTTAGGATAAATTATATTTTTAAACCAATGAAATTAGTCTCTTATATTTTTATATTTGCAAAATGAAATTTCTGGGAATATGTGGCAGAGTCGTGTAATACACACAACTCTCTCTTTCTGTCTGTCTCTCTCTCTCTCTCTCACATACACACACACACACACACACACACACACACACACACACACACACACACACACACACAGTAAAATGAAAAGGGTCACAGAAGCTTGAGTGAGCCCAGAACTCTCCCCTCCCTCTTAAGTTACTAATTTTGGCTGGTAAAGGGCCTGTCCCTGTCTTTCCTGTTCTGACCCTGTTCTTCCAAAACACAAAGGAGTGTATCCTAAAGGAAGGTGTTGCCATTTTTGGCGTTCCATTTGGGGAAAAAATGACATTGAGTTTCTTCTTCACTCTCTTTGTTTCCATCCTGTAAACAATATAAAAGTCACCCATTTTCTGATCCAGAACCCAACTTGTTTTCCCAGGTTCCCTCCTACAACCAACACAAACACAGACATTTACCAGCAAAACAGAAGCTGTTGGAAAGATTTTTTGGCTGCTGAAATGGGCTCCTGTCACCAGGACATGGCAGGCTTTTTGCTGTATTGTCTCCCAGCCCTGGCCCCAGTACATCAGAAAGGGCTTTATGTAATCACTCTTTCCTGACATGTGACGCCCTGTCATTTTCCTCCCCTTCGGCTCTGCTGCCGCCCACAAATCAATAGCACTGCCTGGGAAGTTCAGGCTGGCTTTTCAGCCACCACAAGCACTGTGTTTCTTAAAGGGTATGTCAGAAAATGTAAAGTTTCCTAATGATATTTCTGGCTGATGACACATGGCAGAGGGGATGGACTATTTATAATCAGTGGCACGATTGCAAGCACATTATTTTTATTTCACTTAGGGGGGAGCCCTGTCACTTGCTACCTCTCTTTGCAGACAAGTTGATACCATCTCCACCTAAAGTAGTTAAGTCTCTTTGCAGAATGTGTTGGCACTTTCCCCTTTGTGTTAGGAGCACCTTAGTTCTTCCTTCACCCTTCTTTTCTTTATTATTCTTTGTCTTGGGGGGAGGGGGCGGTGAGGGCAAAGAATGCTTTGTAGCAACTGTTTTAAATTTTGGCCATGCCAGCATCCTTCACTATAAATGTCTCCAGTTTTTGCTGCTTACATCCTGCTTCAACCCTCTGAGTGTGGGTGTGGCTGACAGGACCAAGGCAATAGACAGAGCTACCAAGTCCAGCACTTGCCCTAGTTTTACAGGACTGGGCAGTGTAGCTGTCCTTTGTTAAGCACCTACTATAGTCTAGGTAATGTCCTTGGTCTTCATTTTATATATAATATCTCAGTCTATTCTCTCAAAGCCTGTCAGAGGTAAGTGCTATTCTTTACAGCAGAAAGATCTGGGGAGAACGGAAGAGTAAGTGACTTCTCTCCACAGTCACCCAGTTGACAGGGAAAGCCCCAGGCCTCCAAAACAAGTATTTTTCTAACTAACTGAGCATGCCATCTTTCTGTTCCTCAATACTGGCTTTTCCTGATTATGTGGACTCATATATATCAGCTGTGGCTATGCAGGGCCACTTACCTTTCTTGAGCTTGGCTAGCTCCTATGAGTTCAAAGGCCACACCTAGAGTGAGAGGTAGAAGAACTAGAAATCGCTCATCCAAGGGTAAGCCCCGGAGAAAAGGAATCACAGAGCAGAGGAGGGGTCTGACCCACCGCAATGGGAAGTGTTGCCTCTATAAAGATACTGAGCACTCTTTCTCATTCTGTCTCTCTGTCTCTCTCTCTATCTCCCTGTCTCTCTTTTTTAATGTTTTCACAGGACAGAGTTTAGGGTATGGATTTGTTAACTATATTGATCCAAAGGATGCAGAGAAAGCCATCAACACTTTAAACGGACTCAGACTCCAGACCAAAACCATAAAGGTAAGAGATGATATGCCAGCTCCTGATTCAGGAGGCCCTGCTGAAATTTCAGTCCATGGGTCTAGTAAGTCCAGGCTATGGGGTAACACACATGTAGTGGTCTTTATTCATGCAAAGAAGATTTACTGTCCCCTGTACTAAGTGTAGGGGACATGGGCCATTACAAAATAGTGAAGTGATGGTCAATAGAGGGAAGGGACCAGGAGCTGTGAGATCAATAATCCAGAGGGTGGATGTGGGACCTGGGATTCCAGACTCCACTGAGAGGGCCTGCTAGCCTGAGTCTATACAGAGGACCAAGGGAAGGGAAGCAAGCTAAGGGAAGAAGCTGAGGCAGGAAAGCCATCCCAGGTAGAAATAGTGTGGCCTAAGTTTGGGAGGTGATGAAGAGGGGCACGTAGGCAGGACCAAGTCAAGAGACCTTATGTACTAACTAAGAAGCTGTGCTTTAGCTAAGGGTGGTTAGGAACCTCCCAATAGAGAATGGGAAGTTAACTATAAACAAACACAATACTGTAAGACAGGCAGCTACAATAAAATTAATGAAAATATTATAGAGGAACAACAAAAATAGTAATTTAACCATCTGAAAATACTTAGGTGGACAGATCGTATCTCAGGAATTACTGTTTTTCAATCAGAAAAGCAAAGAGTAACATGGAGGCTGCTCCTCCAGGGAGGCCAGCTGTCTGGGGCTGCAGTCGCCTCTCCTGCCTCAGACTTCACGCCTTTGGGAAGATGCTACTTGCCTTGGGCAGCTGGTGGTGGTCTCCTGAATGGAGTTGCCTGCTCCTCAGCAACTTCTCTTTCTTCCCCCACCTCCAGCCAACTTCCTGTTTAAGGGCAGCTGCCAGCTGATTAATGAGTCCCATCCTTCATAGCCTATTAAACCACAGGGAAGTGTCTCCTGGGCGCTCTTATCCTCACGACAGCAGGTCTGACGCAAAGTAGGACAAAAGAGAAACCTCTCCCAGAATGGAAATCTATAGATGGCATCAGCTCTCCGCATCTGAAAAAACAAAACTAGAACTTTTTTGTTCAGCAAAGCTACTTTTCCAACATCCAAACTGACAGAAAAGACTGCCAGAATAAGGCAGTCTTAGCTGGGAGGTAATAAAAACAAAAACACAAAGAAAACCTTTCTCTTTTTTAAATATTTCATGTGATTATTTTTCTTTTTTAAGCAGCTTTACTTTTGCAATTGTGTTTAGCTTATTTCCAAAGACAATTGTTTTCTCTGAGCGCCCACAGTCTGTAGTGCACAAAGACTCCAAATGGACCTGATTCCGACTGCCTCAAATAGGGCTTCATAGAATCAGCCCCTAAGAATTCTCTAAGGGGGAAGTAATCAAGAATTGTTTAATTATGGCATAGTCCTCGGAGACACAGGAAGATTAATTTCTTTCAATGAAAAAACACGTATTTTCATACTTTAAGTCAAGAAAGGGTGCTCCGTCACCTGGCTCTGACGAGGCCTCGCCAGGCTGAGAGCTGTGTTTGTAAGTTTGATTGATTTTTCTGTGTCATCCAGTTCAGCATTAGAATGTCAGACTTTCATTCTTCCCTTGGCAGACACCCTGACCTTGAACTGAAAAAGGTGCTTTTGTTTTCTTTGCAGTTTCCTTAAAGCCCAAACCCTTCTCAACGGCTTGGGATCAAATCACCAGTCATCAATTCTGCCTTCTTTTTAAGTATTCTATAAGACCCCTGGGGTTTCCCCAAAGACTGATTGAGCCCAGCTCTTCTCATCTCAGAATGCTCCCCTGGCCCATCATACAGTCAGATACTTTATCTAAATGGATCTTAGAGACAGGAACATTGATTATTTTCCTTCTGTGAAGAGCTGATCTGCCTCCTTCCCTTATCTATACCCTCCACCCTCCCACCCAGGCCAGGCTTCCCCTGCATCAAGATGCTGCCAACACATTTTCACCCAGCGGAAATATGGGCTTCTGGGGCACTGTAAGATTCAAAATGCATGATGCTACTGCTGAATCAATAATTTCCATTCTCTACTACGAATGAAAATTTAATGTGCAAACCTAGGGATTTCAGCCCTTTCATTAAAGCAGTTTATTTGCCATACTAAAAATTAAGTTTGAGTGATAGGTTCCTTTATTAACTTTTCTTCCCTTTCCTAAAGGGACACAGTGTTTAAGGTAAAAATCATATTAAAGGGAAGGAAAAAGCAAACCCTTTTGTGTGCTGTTAATAGTCTCATCATTTATTAATTTCTTGAGATTGCTTTTTTGCCTTTCAAGCCACTGTTGACTTCTGCTTCCGTCCGCTTTGATAAGTGACAGGAGATTTCACTCTTCACTCTGACTCCCAAGACAAAATAGATAACCAGCCAATCTAGAAAAAAACAAACAAACATCTTTGATGGGAGCATGCATTACAGAGATCTCAGGACTATCAAGTACAAGTTTACAAACTTCGGCCAAGTGCATGCCTCCTTGTCATATTTCTGGAGTGCTTCCTGCAAAACAGACCTTTTTAAGAGTATTGTACAAAATCAGTGCAGGAAAACCAAGAAATAATTCCTAAACTGTGAAAATTAATGATTAAGAGATCAGATCCAGAGATGGTTCTAGAAAGTTCTGAGAGTATGATGGTGACTGGAGTGAGCAGTGAGCAAAGACTGTAGTTATGCTGCTGCTGCTGCTGCTGCTAATGATGATGATGATGATGATGATGATGATGTTTCATATCTTCAGTTGGTCAATAGAAACTGAAATTGGGATATCTTTTATGCCAGCTCTCCCAATTTTTAGAGGCTGGAATTTTTTTTAAAAGAAAAAAAATAAAGAATTAAGAAGAAAACTGAGCAGAACCTAATAGTTGACCTTTGTAAGTCAATTTTTAACCTCTGACCCTTAGATTTAAATATGCCAACATTGTTTTTGCAGATGTCAGTGAATGGTTCATTACTTGGTTATTAGTGGCAGGTATCCACAACAAAAGTTCATTTTATCTTTGTTAAGGACTGTGTATGACACCAGCTTGTGGAAGGCCAGGTCGGACCTCTGAGAGAGTACATGGTGCACAATTACACACTAATGGGTAGCTGTGAATGCTGACTCCAGAGGAACTGTTATTTAGGGTCCACTTCTTCAGTGGGAGGGAGAAGAGTCCTACCTGGAGACCAGGCCTGAGAGAGCTGATGTGTCTTGCCTAGAACAACCCAGCTGGCATTTAACATATGTAAGCATGAGCTTGAGAAGAAATAGCAATAATCATCTTAATGCTAGCCGACACTGAGTATTTACACTGTGCCCAGTGTTATTGTAATCCTTCCATGTGCTTCTTGCCATTTAATCTTTAAGCCATCCCCCAGCTTCATTGCTTTATACACATCATCTCTGTTTCCAAAAATGGTTCTGTAAGAAGGTGTTGTTTTCTCCTTTATGCTAATGAAGAAACTGAGGCCCAAAGAAGTTAAGCGACATACCCATTAACATAGTGGGTTAATGACATTTGGAGTATTGGGGAAAAAATGATTTAAAACTAACTCTCTGGCAGTAGGTCGTAAGTGTTGGAATGTCACACTGTCTGTTTGCCTAGCAGCACATGCGTTCTGTCCGGGCATGTAGGGATGGATTTGGCTCTGCATGCACATGGGTTATACTCCCTGACACAGTGAAAAGATATAAAAAATAAACAAATGAACTGCGGGCTCTTCTAGGTTCTTCACAGACAGACCTATGATTCAGGACACTTGCCATAGCATGGAGACACCCCTGACTTCAAGTAATTTCTTCTCAGGCTCTTGCTTTGCAGGCTTTGTGCTAAATCTTTGGATTTAGGATAAGTGGAGATGGCAATGGCCTGGAAATGCTCCCATCCATGTGTATCAGGGAACCATAGAGTATGGACCATAGTTCTGCCACAGGAGAGATGATTTGCCTCATTTAAGGCTTGCAGCGCTATTTGTTAGCATTTTATATTTTCCAGTTGTCTTTGGGACTCTGAGAACTACTGGAAAGGAAGGCTGTGGATTCTAGGATTTGGTTCCTTGGTACAGCTTGATAATGAATGCCCATCCCAGCCCTGATCTTCTCCTGACCTCTGAAAGAGCAACTTCTGCATTTTCACTGTCACATCAGCCTCATGTTAAGAAACAATCGAAAGTTGCCTTTGGTTCTGCTCCTTGTCACATTAATTAAGGACAAATAAAACTAGAGCTGAGCAGCATGGTAATTCTAGCACTATGGACACTGAGGCAGAGAGATCATGAGTTCAAGGTCAACCTGGGCTTCAAAGCAAGATGAGAGAGAGAGAAGGGGAGAGAAGGAGGAGAAAAGAAGGGACACGGAGAGAAGGTAGGGAAAGAAGAAAGGAGGATGGAAGGAAGGAAAGGAGAAAGGGAGGGAGGACTTTCTGGAGAGACAGTGAGAGAGAGAGGAAGAAGGGAGGAAGGGAGGGAGGGAGGGAGGGAGAGGGGAGAAGGA